GGTAATGATTCTTCAATGTGACTGAGGACAACATGTGCTATTTGAAGGGGGGAAATAACGAATAGCAAATAGCCTTAGCCTTTTAAAATAAGGTTTCATCACCTAAGAATACTTGAGGATGTTCTTTGGATCAGAATTCTATTTCATTGAATGGTTGAAGCATTTCTGATTTAAAAAGAAAAACATCTGACTGCTGAAGCATTTCGGTGTTTCACACGGGGCGGCAGGGACAGTAACTTGACCATCACGAGTTACAAGTGGCAATTTCCGTCTTATATAAACTCTGACTGCTCTTAATTTGCCAGAGTTTTCAGGGTAACCGATCATTGTTATTTTGTGTTGTTGTTTGCAGTTACACTACATGTATAGTATTTCTCATTTTAGCCATTTGCTGTAAAGAAGGTAAAAGTGAGGATAACGGGTGGGTTACTGGCTCCTACGTCCCGAATCTTACTCTACAGGCGATGGTCCATGCTCGCTGCTCCATCCTCATTCATCTTCACTGTTAATTTATGACAACTCAGGGGGAAACAATATAACAAGCCTAGTTTGGTTACAGGTACACAAAGCTTGAATATTTCTCTGCACTGAAATGGAAGTGGCATCGTTCAGCACCACCTGCTATATTTTGTACAGAATTTTATCAGCCATAGACATAGGACAATCTGTAAATCTTTGGGGGGGAGGTGGAACAGGAAATGACAAAGTGTCCGTCAAAAAAAGACACACCTAAAACAAGGTGGATGTAGCAGACCTGTCACTCACTGCTTGAGAAGGACGCTGAGTTGGTGACTGTTGCAGACTTACATGACTTCAGCACTTTATAACCATTTCTACTATGAATGTTAAATACGGTTTAATATTTATAACTGATTTCTGAGCTCTGTGCTCATGTCCATTCTGTTAACTGCATGAAAAAAATATATGCCAATTCCAGTTTGTCAATAATCAAGGTTTTAAATGTTTGGAAGAAAATTAAAATGGGACTGCTGATTTGTTCTGTACTAGGGACATTCTGGTACTTCTAGATTTGTAATAAATATATAGCTTTTTTTATTTAAAGAGATTGATTCGTTTTTTATTGACTCGGCATTCATTGTTTGATCCAATTATAGCTATAAAAACAACTTTTCTGAAAAATTTTTTCACTCTACTAGAGACAACACAAACACTTCCAAGAAGTGTTTGCTGAATTTATTTCTTGGATAAAATACATGAATGAAATGATATCACAGTAGCCACAGAGTGATAGCTAAGCCTCTCAACTGTTGTAAGTGGAAACAGTTAAGACTATCCAGTTATAGAATAATCCTGAGAACTGTCCTCCCTCTAAGTAGACAGCACAGACTCCCCAGGCCAGGGGCTGGGGAACTTGTGTAAAGATTCAGGTGGTAAATACTTAAGGCTCTGGGTGCCCTGAGCGCTCTGTCACAGCTATTCAACTCTGCCGTTGTAGTGGGAAACTAGCCATAGGCAGACAAAGCTCCTGGACCAGATGGCTTCACAGTTATGTTTTATCAAACATTCAAAGAAGAATTAACACTGATCCTTCTCAAACTATTCCACAAATTTTAAGAGAAGGAAAGACTCCGAAGCTCATTTTAAGAGGCCAGCATTATCCTGGTTCCAAAACCAGGGAAAGACATTACAAAAAAGAAAATTGTAGGCTAATCTCCCTGATGAACATAGATGCAAAAATCTTCAACAAAATATCAGCAATACGTTAAAAAGATCATACACCACGATCAAGTGGGATTTTTTTCTTGGGATGCAAGGTTGGTTTAATATCTGCAAATCAATTAATGTGACACACCACGTAAACAAAACGAAGGATTAAAAAATCATGATCATATCAATAGATGCAGAAAAAGCATTTGACAAAATCTAGCACCCATTTATAATAAAAACTCTCAGCAAAGTAGGAATAGAGGGGACATACCTCAACATAATGAAAATCATACAGTATATGACAAACTCAGAGCTAACATCATACTCAACGGGGGGAAAACTAAGTGTTTTCCTTAAGATCAGGAACAAGACAGGGATGTCTACTTTCACCACTCCTATTCAACATGGTACTGGAAGTCCTGGCCATGGCCATTGGACAAGAAGAAATAAAAGGATTCCAAATTGGAAAGGAAGAAGTAAAACTGTCATCATTTGCAGATAATATGATACTATCTGCAGAGAACCCTAAAGATTCCACCAAAAACCTACTAGAACTCATAAATAAATTCAGTAAAGTAGCAGGACACAAAGTTAATATTCAGGAATTGGTTGCATTTTTATACACCAATAATGAACTATCAGAAAGAGAAACTAAGAAAAACAATCCCCCGTACAACTGCATTAAAAAAAAAAAAAACACCATAAAATACCCAGGAATAAATGTAACCAAGGATGCAAAAGGCCTGTACTTGGAAAATTATGAGATACTAAAGAGAGAAATAGAAGCAAGGCACAAATAAATGGAAGCATATACTGTGCTCATGGATAGAAAGAATTAACATCATTAAAATGTCCAAACTATTCAAAGCAATCTATAAATTCAATGCAAACCCTATCAAAACACGAATGGCATTTTTTTACAAAACTAGAACACATAATCCAAATATTTATATAGAACCACAAAAGACCCCAAAAAGCCACAGCAACCTTGAGAAAGAAGAACAAAGTTGATGGTAACACACTACTTAATATAGAAACAGACACATAGACCATCTGGCTGGTATGGCTCAGCTCGTGCATCAAAGGGTCTCAGGCTCATTCCCAGTCAGGGAGCACATGAAAGGCAGCTGATCGATGTTTCTCTCTCTCTCTCTCTCTCCCTCCCTCCCTCCCTCTTTCTTTCTCCCTTCCTCTCTCACTAATGTCAATAAAAACATTTTTTTAAAAGAGAGAGAAAGAAAATGGTTTTCAAATCAGGGTTCCAGTGGTCCAGGTCACCACTGAAGTTCATGGGAGGCATTTATTATACTTACATTTCTGTACTCCTCAAATATTCTAAAATTCAAAAAGAAATGATCATGAATCCTTATTTTTTAAAAAGCTCCCAGATATGAGGCTTCTCATTTAGAAGCCATTTCCTTTAAATTCTTAAATGGTAATTAATGAACACTACTTTAAATGACTAATTTAAAGACACTTCAGGCATGTTACATGCTTAAAGGTCACTCCTACAAGTACACATTGTATTGTCTTTAGATTTGTCTTGGATACAGATGTTAATAGAAGTGAGGGCTACAAGCTCCAACAGGTGGGCCAGCCAGCCTTATAAGTAAGGAACCTAGTGCCCTCTGGTGTTCTGTTTCTGTATTGACTGCCTCGGGTGCAGAACAAGAAAAGTGACGAGTTAAACTTGCAACTTCACTCTTCATGTTAAATAACCTCTCATATCCAAACCATACGTACTGCAGTGACTACAAATTTCCTAAGGGGAAATTAGATACCAAAACTGGTATCCCAAACCTCTATCTATAAAGGCTATACATATATATATATTTATTTATTTCAGAGAGGAAAGGGGAGGGAGAGAGAGATAGAAACATCAATGATGAGAGAGACTCTTGGATCAGCTGCCTCCTGCACACCCCTACTGGGGACCGAGCCTGCAAGCCAGTCATGTGCCCTAACCGGGAAATTGAACTGTGACCCAGTTCACAGGTGAACGCTCAACCACTGAGCAAAGCCAGTGAGGCTCCATGATGTTTTTTTTAAAAATGTCTCAACTGGCAGCAAATGCTTTCCTGGATATTGAATCTCTTTTTAAAAAAATATTTTTTTATTGATTTCAGAGTGGAAAGGCGAGGGAGAGATAGAAACATCAACGACGAGAAAGAACCATCAATCAGCTGCCTCCTGCACGCCCCCTACTGGGGATCGAGCCCGCAGCCCGGGCATGTGCCCTTGGTCGGAATCGAACCCAGGACCCTTCAGTCTGCAGGCCGTGGCTCTATCCTCTGAGCCAACACAGCTGGGGCTGAACCTCTTTTTTTTTTTTAATGTTAAAGCAAAGTATTCTGATTTCTCTCTCTTTGAGCAACCCCAGCGGCCCTACTTAAGAGAAAAGAGGTTGAAAAAGAGTTTAACCTTATAACCCCTTTTATAAACAACTGGAAGAAAATGGTCGGTTTCCAGCTTGTGGTATTTTCTTTCTGATGAGGTCACGCAGCACAGAGAAAACAAAGCACCACTGGGAACAGGGAGCCTGGGATCTGGTTTCATTGCGGCCTCTGGAGTCACCGCACACCATTTCCTTGGCTGCTGGGCTTGTCTCCTCGCCGTGGAGCGGACTCGGCAGCGATCACATTATTGACACTTTACAATCCTGCTCTCCCCAAGTGAAAACGCATGTAAAGGAAACACCACACCTTTGGCAAGAGGAAGGGAGCAGCAGCAAGACCCACAAGTGAACCAGTGCCAAGCCAGAGGCCCTTCCGGGCTTCACACCCTTGCTGCCTGAATGTCAACGCTCACTGTACTGCCCGGGGCCGCAGGACCTTTTCCTTAAAAAAAGTTTTTCTCTCCCATTAATTCAACTTCACAGGCACATCCTTCCATGGAAACCACGAGGCGGTCCTAACCTGGAGCCGGGCGTCCAATCGCAGCCCGAGCCCCGCGGAGCTGCTGAGCACCTGGAAGGTGCCCGTGAGACTGAGCCGAGCTGCAGGCGTAAAACACAGCCAGAATCTGAAGCCTCAGGACCAACACAGACTGTAAGACATCTCAGCAATGGGTACACTCACCACACGCTGAAACCATGTTTTGGATAAGCTGAGTTAAATGAAACGTATAAACAAACTGACGTTCATTTCACCTGCTTCCTTCTGTACTGGCTAACGTGGCTCCCAGCAGCATGTTAATGACCAGCGTATGAGGCTCATTACACGTGCATTGGACGGTTCGGCGCCAGCTTATCATCGGGACGCAGGCAGGGACTGAGGCTCAAACTCTCGGAAAGTACTGTTCCCATGCTCTCCCCGCGACGTGACCCCACTTACTGCTCGGCGGCCTCGCCATACGGGTTTCCCCAGGCCTCCTGCGGGGTGCAGCCGAGCGGAGCC